TTTATTCTGACCGATTCCCGTTCCGGATCGCCAATTCGCCGATCCGGATCGGTTTTTTAGAAGCCCGATTCGGGTCACCGATCCGTTTTTTAAACCATTGGATGATATATATAAAAAACAACGTTTAAAATTAACGTCACATCGATTATGTAAAAGATGGTTAACGTAAAAGATGATTAAAAATGAGAATTTCCCCATGTAAAACTGATACCTCACCCAACAAAATTTATCCATGTTTCTAAAGTGAGAATTTCCCCATGTAAAAGGTATTCTAGAAGATCATGGGTGCAACAACATAGACCCTTTCGATTTTTACAAAAGATACAAGGTATTCTCAAGTGAATACAAGGTATTCTCAATGGATTATAGGTCAAACAATGCGATTTCGATTTTTACAAAGAGAATATAAGGTGTTTTCAATGGATAATCGGTCAAACAACATAGGCGCTTTTGATTTTTACAAGGACCCTTTTGATTTTTACAAAGAGATGGTTACTCGATCAAACTTTTGATTTTTACAAAGAGATAATTAGCTAAACCAAACTTTCTTTTATTCTTTCTTTTTAGATGCCATCTTTATAATTTGATTAATTTGGTTGCTTGATGCCTTCTTTATAGTTTATAACTTGGTTGCTTCATGCCATCTTGCTATCTAAATAATGAGAATACAAGGTATTTATTCTCAATGGATTATCGGTTAAACAATATAAGCGTTTTTTATTTTTACAAAGACGCTTTTGATTTTTACAAAGAGATAGATTACGTAAACCAAACATTTGATTTTTACAAAGAGATGATTAGCTAAACCAAACTTTTTTTCATTCCCTTTTTAGATGCCATCTTTATAATTTGGTTGCGGCATCTTGCTATATAAATAATTTGGGTGTTTAATGTCATTTTTATGATGCCATCTTACTATCTAAATGCTGAGAATACAAGATATTCTCAATGGATTACCGGTTAAACAACATAAGCAATCTTTATTTTTACAAAGAAAATAGATAGATTATGCAAAGCCAAACTTTGATTTTTACAAAGAGATGATTAGCTAAACCAAACTTTTCATTTTTACAAAAGTATTCTCTTATCCCTTTGTATAAAAGTCTCTTCGGATGATCTAAAGTCTCTTCCGATATTCTATAGTACAATGGGCACCCTTCCTCTTAAACAATATCTTACACCCCCTCAATGTCTTATACCCCAGCATGAAAAGATGGGATTGTATGTATTTATAATAGGAGGATTACTTTTGCATAAAAGATCCACACATATTATTGAGAAGGTCATAACATCTGTACTGTTTAGTGTAAGCAGATGTGTAAATTAAAACTGAAAATTTTATATGTTGATTATCAGATACAATATATACCGGTTAATTACATTGAATGGTGTAGACCCGCAAACCTGTAAAACCGGGTCGAACCTGTAAGAAACCAGGTCCTTCCTCGTAATATTAGTAATTTTATATTTATTTCAAAAAAAGAGAAATAAGAAATCATAACCAAAGCATGAGGTGCTTCATGTTGTGCATGAAGCATGTTACCTTAACATGTTATTCCTTGCAAGAAGCATGCTAGGCACCATTGCGTAATGTTATTGAAAGAGAGGCTTATGTGATCAGAAAGGCCTATGTGATTTTTTATAGGGGAATACATTTATTTTTTTATTTTTTTCACTTTTTTTTTTGGCAAAATATCACTTACATGTGGTCTTTATTATAATAAGATAAATTTCAAAATAAAATCAACATAACAATAAAACCAAGATCTTAACAACTTGATGTCATGAGAACAACTATGCACTATGCTTGAGAATAAAATATAATATTGCAAGAAACAAAAGGAAGAGTGCAGGAGATTACCTCAATCGGGCTTATTACACCCCATACCGAGTCACCACCATCCGATGGCGGGGGATCAACGGTCTAGCTTCAATCTCGAACCAGAAAAGCAAATTTCGGCCAAGCCACACCAATGGAACATGAACCCTTTTGATCGCAAACTCAAACCCTAGGTGAATTCTCTTAGCAACCTAGTTTGAACTAGATGAATTATCTTTTTGCTAAACCCTAAAACCCTTAGCCATAAATCCATATTTGAGAGATAGAAGAGAGAAGAACTCCATAACCTAAACCCTTGAGTTCTTTTACAATGTGGGAAAGAGAGATCAAACATGAGAGAGAGACATTTTCTTAAGAGAGAGATAAAAAGATAACTTATAGAGATTTTGGGTAGAGACGATCCCTTTTCTATAGGCTTGAACAAGATTATGGTTTCTTAGGGTTTTCATTGACTTGCCTCTTCTTGTGAGATTAAATATAGACTGTCGATCAAGGGTGACTTGTAGGCCATCAATTCTATAGATGAGCCATCAACATTATGGAAGGTGCATGAACCATTATCCACATTTCCTTACCCATGTTCCCATCAATAGAAATTAGATCAATTAAACTTAATTAAAATATTATGCATTCCATAATCTTTCACAAAAAATTCCAAAGATATATCAAGTCAATATGCACTTTCAATATTTGGTCAAAATATTCTATATCTTATTTGACCACATGCCATAACATAATATTATCAAAACATGAAATAACTTAAACTCCAAGAAAGAATCCATTGGGTAGGGCGTGCCACCCATGTGTGGCACATGTGAGCCCCACCCACTTGACACATGGTGTGCACTATGGGCCCCTCCATGTTATTTTATCTAATTTTAAATTATATAAAAAAAAAATCCAAAACATTATTTGAATTTTATAATTTTGAAAAATCAATATCTTCATTTTTATAAGTCCAAAAAAATTATAAATAAAATATCAAATGACTCATAAAAATTCAAATAATAAGTCTAAAATAATTTCTATCATAAAACAAGCATAATTAAATTAACTTGATGATAAATGGATCCATATGGTTAAGAAAATTAATCTGCAATCATGGGTACTCCACCTTCAACAATGGACTACATCCCAAACTTGCCTTATTGAACAGACCCATTGCTTCTCATGACCCACACTCTAAGCAGAAGATCATTAGCGGGTCACCAAAATTTGGTGGATGAACTAAGGGATCGCAATCCCAGTCTGTGGATTACAGATCCTCCCTTAGATACAAGTCAAGGTCACTAAGACCTTATGCGACCACAGCTCTTTGGCGCATATAGGTATCTCTCGCAAATGCATACGCTTTACCCTAAAAGGTGGATTTCTGACTTTCCCGAACGATATATCGATATGTATGTCGTGTGATGGTACATGGATGAGATTTTGACCTCTATCTCTGTAGGCCACCATCGCACACAAGGGTCACACAGTCTTTCAATTCACTTATCTGTGCATATTCTCCGACCTCATCAAGGGCTAACCCATAAACCTTTATTGGTTTGTTCTTCATGCCTAGGTAACATGGGTTTTTCCCAACCGACTGGCCTAGATCGTTAAACACAGATCAGTATCAGCAAACCATCGTTTGCTTAATATGGTCCACGAGGGACCACACTCCCACTGAGTTCATATTCCACTATATCATTTCATTTTACATGCACTCATAAGGCCACATAAACCCGGCAGTTATTGCATTTGTATTGAGAGGTTATTGCACATGTCTTGCGAGCCTTATTGGGACACACGATTATCTTTGGATTAGCGTGTATTGCTAATAATTTAAAACATAGAACTTAAGTTAATTAGTTGGGAAAAAGCTTTATAACGGTGTACTTAATTAGTTAGATGTGAAAATATTTTCACACAAATTATTCCTAGTATATCTTTTCACACTAATTGACTTGTGAAAATATTCTCACACCTAACCATCTGATGAAATGTTTTCAATGTAAAATATTTTTTCCTAACCAAACATGTCATACGTTTGACGATATGTAACATATTACTCATGGGCATATTTTATATATTTACTACCATGGCAAATAACTTAGGAATATTTTTTTGATATGAGATTATGGGATCCACTTTAAAATTATAAATAACTAATGTTAAAAAATGTCTAAGTACCTAAATATTAAATATTTTTATATAGACTTAAAATATGCTTTTTAGGACGATATAGAATGTGTATATATTTTTGTCTTTTTAGAATTGGTTTCTAGATTGAGGAGGTTACATCCAAACAGTTTGAGGTCCTCAAGTGAGTGAACATGCTCTTTAGCTATAGGGTTGGTTTTCTATGTTTGTAGTGAGTATACACAACTTACATGAAGACGATGACATAGATATACTTATGAAATGTATGGATGCACCTAGTGTCACTAACGAGTCACTGCTCTTATAAAATTACTCGCAATAAAGCAAACATTTTCTTGATTATTAGTGTCTATTGAAAATGATTCGAGAGCTTAGTTAGCAAATTGGGGACTATGAATAAATCGACTCACAATAAAATTAAAAACAAATAATTTTTATTTAAAAAAGTTGAATAAAAAAATCTAGTAAAAAATACGGATCGATAAAAATACTTCATATAAAAATATCATTAATATATCGGATTAAGCTAAAAAAATCGGAGTAAAAAAATCGAACAAATTTATAATATTAGAAATTTTGAAATTCTAAAAAATAAAAATTATGTCAACGATATCAATAACTAATTCATCTATAAAAACTTTATTAGACTAATATAATTAAATTAATTAGTTTAGATACCTCGTGACTCTGAAATCATCTAATATTAAATACATAATAAACTAGTATATACAAAAAAGAATTGTACTATATAAATCTATCCATTACATGCAAAAAACAAATATACTATATAAATTTATTCATTAAATATTTTAACTATAGAATGGTGATAAATATACTATATAAATTTATTCATTAAATACTTAAACATCACTCTTATTTGGTAGGTATAAAAAAAAAATATACGATTTTTGTTTTTTCGTTACAAGGATTGAACTACAGTATGGTGACTGTGGTCACACCGTAACTATGATCAAAGTTTCATGAATTTCTTTAATGAAAAGAGGCCCGTAGAAATTTGGGTTTCACAGTGTTTACGGTTCCGAGAGAGGAGGAAGAAGGAGGAGAGAGAGAAGGTTACTGTTTAGAGAGAGGCGGAGGAAGAAGGCAGAGAAGAAAATGGGGCTGGGCTCATAGCGAGGGTTTTTAGAGAGCGAAGAAGGAAGAAGGAAGAAGGAAGAGGTTATGGGCTTCACAAACCCTAATGGAAGAGACCCTACTGATTTTTAAAAGAGAAAAGGAAGATGGGATGTTGATTTGGGATAGTTTGAAGGGGGCTTTTCTCTCTGATTTGGGATGTTGTTTGAGAGAAAGCCCTAACTATACTGATTTGTCAAGGGGCCTTAACGGATTTTTAGAGAGAGAAAAGGAAGAGGGTTTTCCATTTTTTTGGGGAAACAGCAAGCAGAGCTGAAGGATTAGGTTTGGGGAACTAATCTTATATATACAATTGCTTTCTCCTGTAAGTTTACAATTTACACTATGTTGTTTATCTTTGTTATCACATGATCGACATCAAAATATTGATTACTTGGTCCTGTAGTCACACTCTCTGCTTCTCATTCATCAGTAAAATATTATGTTTTGAGCTCTAGTTTGTGCCATAAACAGTATTTTCATATAAACAATGATCATAAATAATCACAGAAATCTGCATGTATATGATTTTCTTTACACAGTTATTTACTTTACAAAATGATTTGCTATAAACAGTATTTCATTTACACAATCATTTTCCATAATAACACTGAAATCTGCATCTATTTGTTTCAGTTTTTTAAAAAAAGGGAAAAAAAATTCACCTTCAATCTGCAACTGTGGCTTTGAAGAACATAGTGGGGATAAAAATTTATATTTTAGGTTTTTTTTTTTGAAATATGTTTTTTTTTTTTCAAAAGCATCAAAGTAGCAATGGCTGCAATACACAAAACAGGAAAAAAAAATATATTTCAAAAACGAATTATAGGTAAAAAAAGACGCAATTTTTTTGGCCGGATTTAAATCGTATCATGAAAAAATCGCGTTTTAAACAATTTTTAAGAAAACTAGGCGTCTTTTTCCTGACCTTTTAAAAAAGTCGCCGTTTAAAACTGTTTCCATAAAAACGCAGATTTTACGGCAATTTGCTAACTATGTTCAAGAGAAGCTCGTTGTATGTTTTCCATATAAGTATATATTTAAAGGAAAAGTATACAAAGAGACCATTTACTTTTAAAATCATTTTTGTCCTTTAGATTTCAAACTGGATGATTGTGAACATGTAATTAACTAAACTCAAAGTTCAAACAATTGTTTTGGAGTTTGTGATACACCCCAAGCCATCCAATTTGACATCTAATGGAAATGAGTAATTGTGACCTCCTTGTAAGAAAGATAAATAGCCTCATAGTATACAATCCTATATTTATAAAAGGTATCAAACTTACACTATTGAAGTAAGGTTCACCTAAAAAAATCCTCTAGAAGAGAGGGTTCTAATGTTGGAAAGCCCTCCAAGTTGAACGTCTCGACCTCAAGATGTATCAATATTGAGAAAAAGGTATTTCAAATCCTAAAAACAATATATCTTGTTACAAATTAGTTGGACTGTCTATTTTTAAGATTTTCAAGTGTTTATAGCTTTACTCGATTGGTTCTATCTTTGAAATTTTAATTTTAGAATTAAGAATAAGAATATATTTTCACGCGATAATAAATTTTCAACACTAGAACTCCATCTCTATCTAAAATTTAGAGGTACACCTTATGCACAAACCTAACTTATATAAAAAAGTAAAGAAATTATATAAGGTGTCAAGTGTCAACCTTATACTATTGAAGTAAGGTGCATCTCAAAAATCCATTAGAAGATAGTGTTCCAACTTCGGGAAACCCTCATATTCAATCATCTTGACCTCAAGATGTACAATTATAAAGGAAAAAGAATTGGATTTCCTAAAAATAGTGCATCTTGTAACAATTTATCATCTATATATGTTTTCAGGATTTCCAAGTATTTATATATCTCCACCATCTATACCATTTTTGAAGTTTCATGCTTCATAACTAAGGATGAAAATAAAATTTCAAACCATCATAAGCTTTCCGTTACCAAAACTACATCTAAAATTTGCCTTAAGGAAGACACTTTATACAAACTTCTCCTATTAAAAAATGTTAGTTTTTATTTTTCCAAAAGATGTTATAATCTAATAGGAGTATAATGTCTATTTACTCCCTTAGGTAAAACTTCACCTAGCATTAATTTTAAGACTCAAGAATTTAGAGATGTGACTTCTTCAACCTGTAGATTAACTTCAATAAAAAAGTTTCCTAACCTTTTGTACGGCTAAAAAAATAATGTCTCAAGATTGAATGGAGATCATCAAATTTTTAGATGGTGAGATCTAAGTGTTAGGATACACTCAAATTTTAAAATTTTCTTTTGAGAATAACCATCTAGTGATTTTTAAGTAATTCCCAAAATTTCAAATTGAAAATATCCTCCCAAGTTATCTAACCAAGGGAGTAGAAGTATGGTACGTGGGAGTAGAAGTATACGTACTCGTTTACTTCTATTAATTCGGCCAGAAGAACTAATTTGGAGAAATTTTTCAATATAAAAATTTGAGATTATTAGATGGTTATTAAAAAAAAAAAAAATTTAAAATTTGAGTTTTCTAACACTTAAATCTCACCATCTAAAATTTGGATGGTCTCTATTCAATCTTGAGGCTATAATTTGAGATTATAATTTGAGGCTATAATTAAAAAATTATAATTTGAGGTTAATCTATCGGTTAATCTATAGGTTGATGAATTATATCCCAAATTTTGAAATCCTAAAATTATTTCTAAATAGAATTTTACTTGAGAGAGTAAATGGATATTCTACTCCGGCAGGAGTAAAACATCTTTGACTTTAGGGGATGACCAACTGTGATCGAACAAAATCCTCTCCATGTAAAGCCAAAGAAAAGCTCTCTCTTTACTCATTACAACTGCCAAAACAGGAGGAAGTTTCGCATTTTCTTCATCTCCCCCTCTTTGTGGCCCCCAGCTTTGTTCTCAGTGACCCGCCTTAAGCCTCTCTCTACTTCCTTTTTATCAAACCTTGGCTCGAGCCCCCTTCCTCTTCCCTCCCTGGAACCCCACCCTCTCTCTCTCTCTATCGAAGCCCTAGTCCTTCTCTCTCTCTCTCTCTCTTCAAGATTAGGCCTATTTTTGCCGCGAGCCATCTCCTTCTAACATTGGACCTTATTTCCATGTAAATTTTTTTTTTTTTTGCATATTTTTGTATAAAAGCTATTGTAGGGTTGAAACAACTGAACAATCGAGTATGCCTTGCATTCCCCATGATGAAAATGTAAAATATGATATTTATCGCAAAAAAATTAGTGATATTTGTCACTAATTATAAGTAAATCAGTAAATTCAACGATATTTACTTTGTTTTTGTGTATAGTTATCAGTAAATTAGTAAATTCATTAAGTTTTTATATTCACTAATATTTAAGTTTAATTTATGGTCATCACGTGCTTGGGTTCAATTCCTCTGTGTCATTTGGGTTTAGTTCCTCTGTGTATAGATACTTCTCGATCCATCGAAACTGGTAGGAAAACTCATCTAATCATGATTTTACTTAATTTGTTACTTGTGGGCAAACTTATCTTGGATTATTTAGTTGGTTTTACTTGAATAAACACTTGGGTTAGCAATTTGTATGGTTTTACTCCCTTCCCAATGGTCTTTTATTAGTTTAAATGATTTCTTCATTTTACCTGGATGATGGGAGATTATTTGTAATGTATGTCTGATGTTTGTTGTTGAGAGGGAGAGGGAGAGGGAGAGGAAGATAGATTTGCCCTCCAATTGTGAGTACTTTCTCCTCTTTTGGTGTGACATGCATTTTACATGTTCAAATTAACTGATTCAATTGTGAAGATTAGGGTGCGTGGCACACTAAAATAAAGTCATAAAAGAAGGAGAAAACTAGTCTTTGGACATCAAAACCCAAACTCTGTAAGATAAAGAGTTAAAAAGCCCAAACTATGTTGAAAACCCTCTCCGTCATTAGGATCTCTATGTTGAAAGCCATTATATGATGCAACCTCTTATAATGATGACTATATGGTGAGGATTACAGCTGAAAAACATATTTAAATACCCGAAAGCCGACAACGAGAACTTGTCAAACCACAATTAACATGGGAATTTATGATACACTTAAATGCTTACAAATGATTCATATTTAACTGTCATATGTTGACTGTTTTTTTATGAAGGCAAGTGTGACTGCAAGCATGCATTAATATTGATGCTCCTTCTATTGTGAATTGACAATAGAGTGCTGAATTTGATGTTGTTTTAATATGCTATGAAAATGAAAGGGACATGGAGTGGTAGAGGGAGAGAAAATCAACAACTCACCATCTGAACTATCCATTTTGTACATAATGACATGGATGGGCTATAACTAGAAAACCTCAATCAAATGATAAATTGCAACCTCTAATCAATGAGTTTTGTAGTTAAAGGTTTAATCAGCAGTTTTTAAATTTCCAGATTAGTAATCAGGGGAAATTGCCAGCAGCAGATTTCCCCTGTTTTCACAAATAGATTACCAAATTAGGTTTCAAAATTCAAGCTCTCAGGTCATAGTTTTCTACTTCTACCTTTTTTTTAGGCTCCCAGTTTCTTAGAAATTCTTCAGGAAATTGGCTTTCTCAATTATCAAACAGGCCATGGTTTCCCCTATTTGCCAACAAAGTCATTTTTCAACCCATCAATACCTCCCTATCTGTCTGTCACTTCTTGAAGCATGGCTTATGTGGTTCAGTAACCCTATCTCTCTCTCCCCAAACCCAAACCCAAACCCAAACCCAAACCCAAACCCAAATACCTTTTTCAATTTGAAACCCTAACCCAAAATTCTCTCTCTCTCTCTCTCTGTCTCTATTATTGCTCTGTAGAAGGTCTCCTTAGACTATAATTGACATCTCATTTCAGGATCCAGTTAGCTGAAAAGCCGTGAACAAGCAATTTGTGGCAATTGGAGGAGCCCTATCACCATTATTTGTGGCATTTTCTTTAGTGAAGCTTTGCGTAAGTAGGTTACTTATGGGCGTATTCTCTTTTATTATTCATGTTACGTTGTTAAATTTGCAGATGTCTCTCTTCAATCAACTTCTTGTGGAGTCGATACCAGAATACCATTAGTCAATCATCTGGTTTCGTTAATATAATTCAAATTATCTCAATTTGGTTTTTTGGTTTTGGTTTTGAATTTCCCTTCTGATTTATAACATCCATGACTACCATTTTTTTTGGGGTAATGTTTCTCTCTATGCTAGATTTTTCTGATTTTCGGATTGGATTAAATTATGGGCTGAGAGCTCTGAGACTTAAAAACTGAGTTGTTCTCCAAACCCTTTTTATCATAATACTACTGTTGATGTCGTGAGAATTTGATCGTATACTGGGTTTAAGTTTGTTTGACATTGCTCATTTTAGTCTATTTCTTTCTCGTTTATATGTAGCTTTTGAAGTTCTCTACAATTGGTTGCCTATATTTACTTGTTATTAAAAGGTAACATTGTTATGTATTTTTGACATCACTAGAGGTCTATTGATTCATTGTGATAAGGTTTGAATTGGTAAGAAAACCCTAGAGACTAAAATGGAAGTTTAGGGCATTGAATGAGGCTATCTCTTTTTCATAACTTAGATTAAATCTTTGCTTATTTTATATCTTTAACCAATTCATTGGAATTTGGTCCGAATGTGGAAATTTTTTCTCTAGGATTAATTGAAATACCCCATTTTTTTGAGCTCTTTATTGGTACTGCACTATTAACTTTTATTTTAATCTCTCTAAATTTGTTGTTGGCTTTTGATTTTTCGTTATTTTTATGCAAATTTACATAAAAATCCTATATGTTTTTGGAATTAAAAAATAGTCTGATAGTTTTTACTTTTTATGCTCAAGTCATTTTTTCCCTCAGAATTGTATTTTTTTGACAGTTTGGCACATGCAGTGCCAAACCAAATTCTTTCAGCAAAATGAGGTCGGCAGCAATGAACCTAATGAACCCACATTTTAGAAGTAAAAGCACGAAGTGCCGAACCTGCTTTTTTAAAGAAAAAACATGGGTTCAACTCTTGAAGCGCCAAATCCACTTTTTTAAAATTAAAGCATGCCTATGCTTCTATGGGAGCATACCACACATTTGCTCCCTTGACTAAAACCCAATCTAGGTGCATTTTTAGGCCCTCAAATTTTGCATATGTAACGTTTTTAAACTAGCTACAAACCTCAGAAGATTTTTTTTTTTAAATAGTACACTCTCTATGTCCCTTAAAATATAAAGCCCTAAGATTGAGCAGAGAGCATCCAAATTTTGGATAATCTAAGTGTTTACTAACTAAATCCAATTTTCTTATTTGTTTTAAATAGTCGCCGGGTTATTTTTTGGTGGATCCCAAAAATCCTGCCAAGTAGCCTTTTATCTTGAGGGAGCAAGTACGCAGTATTGTCCTACAAAAGCAGTTTATGTATATTTTACTTTAAAAAAAGTGGGACGGGGACTTAAAATATCGAGCCCATGTCTTTAACTTAAAAAAAGTGTGGCTTCAAGTGTGAATCCATGTTTTTACTTAAAAATTTGGGGGCGACACTTCAAATGCAAACTCACTCTTTGCTAAAAAATTTTAGGTTGGATACTTAAGTGCCAACGTGTAGTTATTTTGGAAAAACTAAAATCTGATGATAAAAGGGACTTGAGAAAAAAGAATAAAAACTATGAGGTTATTTAATAATTTCACGAAATATATAGGATTTTTATGAACCTTTCTTTTGCTTAGGTTTTTTTGCATGGCTTTCTCTCCATTCTTAGGGTTTACTCCTTTCACATCATTTTTTAGAGTTTCTTCTTTCAGGCACTATTGATTTACAAAGCTTCAAAACTTACCATTGTATGCTGTTTTTTTCATTTTAGTAAGGCATAGTAATAGTTTGTGGCTTTTCTTGTGCATCTAAGCACTTAATACAAGAGAAAGAAAATTACAAAAGAGTAATTAAATTCATCTATATTAGTACAAACCATTTGATTGAGTATTTGGTAATCTTATCATCATCATCAGCATCACCATAGCCTTTTCCTAATTAATTAAGGTCGGGTACATGAATCTTGGTTCTCCATTCTACTCTATTAAAGACCATATTATCAGTGAGGCCATAAGTCCCCAAATCTTTTCGGACTACTTCCAACCATGTTCTTTTGAGCCAACCTCTTGTCCTTTTCAGTCCTTCCACTTGAACTAACTCGCATCTCCTAACAGGTGCTGTAATTGGTTGGCGTCGCTCATGGCTAGCCCTCCTAAGTCTGCTATCTCTCATTTTATCGCCTATTGGTGCCACGCCTAAATTCTCTAAAATAGATTCATTTTGAATTCTATCCTTTCTTGTCTTGCCACTCATCCATCTCAACATCCTTATCTTTGTTATACTAATTCTATGGGTCTATTGTTTTTTGTCCGCCCAACATTCTGCCCCATAGAGCAAAGCCGGTCTTACTGCTGTCCTATAAAACTTGCCCTTCAGCTTCATTGGTATGCGACGATCACATAAAATTTCCGTTGCACATCTCCACTTCGCCCGCCTTGCTCTAATTTTGTGTGCGACATCTTCCTCGATCTCTCTATTTTCCTGGATTATCGACTCAAGATATCGAAAGTGCGGTCTTTTTTGTACTTCCTGACCTTCCATCTTAACTACTTCATCGTCTCTACTCTTATTACTTGGTAATCTTATACAACTTGAAAATGATTGTTACTTCTTTTTATGGATCTTCATTTTATGCCTCTTTCTTCCTTAATAGTAAATTGAGAATTGCAATCCATGTTCATTTGCTATTGTCTTCGTGCTTGGTTTCTTCCCATTTCAGCAAGATGGAGTATGGCCTTTTCATTACGGCTTCTTTAATGTTTCTTATAATGGTTATGATAGTATTGATAAGCTGAATAACTGAAATTAGGGTTTCTTTATCATAGCTTGAGGTGCATATGGTCTTATGCTTTGTATGAAGACGAGTCTGGATGGTTAAAAGACGAAATCTCTTTTTTCTTAGTCATACGAACTTCTCTCAATTTTCACACAAAGTATTTATTGAAAAATTAGAATTTTTAAATGAAACTTATTCCTGGCAACTTTTTTGAAAATGTTTTTAGTTGCTTTTTTTAGGATGATGTGTTTTTTCGCCCAATTATTATCTTTCGAACATAGTTTTGTCATGCACGAAGTGATACCGCTTGCTAATCAGGCACTGAAAAGTGGAAAGCATGCATCTCATTACCTGTTTTACAAGTGCTGGAATTTTTTTTGATAATTTATATAAGTGTTGGAATTAACTCGCTATGTAAAACATTGAAAACAACTAAGGAATCATAACGAAAACTTGGGTAACTGGTTTCTCATGATAGGTGGTATAGAGAGGGAAAGGAGCCCATATACTCTCACCTTTCCTTTCTGGAACACTTATAGCTTTTACCTTCTCCATATGGCTCCTGCTCAAATGATAACCGGTGTAGAGCAAGAAAGCATGGTCGAAAACTCGATTGGTTTAGAGGGAGCAAAGGCTTGTGAAATTCTAAATTCTGCTGCACCTAAAATACCATGTGAGGAAAATTTAGAATGCACAAAGCAATCAAGGGAGACTAATTTGAGTATCAATGACACCTCAGATCAAGATGAAATGAACAAGGACATGGGGTGTGATACGATCATTGACATTGAAGGGAATGAGGATAATGGGGATGTTAGATGGTCTCTTGCTGAGGAAACCACTGAGTGTTCCAGTTCATTTGGGGACACTTTGTCAAGCTTAGATGATGATTGCAAGAGAATAGCAAGTGATCAGGAGGTGGAGTCTCGGTTTCATGGTGAAAATGGGTTTGCAAATGTTATTGATGAGTTCAATGGAGGACTAAGATTGAGGTATGTCTTTGTTGTACTATTTATTTTTTGATTTGATTTGTCTTCCTTCGAGAAATTATTTAACTTATTAGGGATGTGTTCTATTACTTTTTCATTTTTTTGGCAATATTAATTATTCTGTGCTAATTGAAGAGGAAATTAATTGTTGAATTTCTTGTTCATGCGGTTATACCGAGGGACAATTCTTTTATAATGGATTACCACTTTGTTAATCTTAGATCACTACATATAAACAAGTTCAAATGGAACAAATTATGTTAGTGCAAAATTATGGAATTTTTTTATTCATGAATGATGGGTAATCAAAATGCTTCTATCTACCATGACATGTAATACCATATACTATATACTACCATATACAAGTAACTTATCACCAAAAGAAAAAAAGAAGAAGGAATATTTCATAGAATATTACAAAGTCTAGGGCCCCATCCACCAATGGAATGTTCAAAAATTGCAAGTGGCAATCTGTTTTTCATTGTTATTTTGAACAAAATTGCATTTCGGTTCAAACAAACAAGAGATTATACATAGTTTAAGAACTTATGTTATCAAATGTGAGATGTGGACTCGATACAATCGAGGTTCGATGCGGGACGCGGCTTGATGTGGTCTCGTGGTAGGTGCATCACATGCGTCAATAAATTAAAAACACTTTAGAAACTCTAAAATATAAGAATGTATAGAAAAACACAAACGCGTGATATTTGTGATAGTAGAAATTGTAATTTACTACTTCTATCTAATACGTCAATTATCCGAGTCACCTGATAGCCTGATAGTCTGACAAAGAGTAATAGAGTTTGTTGTCTTATGCGTAAAAGTAATCCTTTCCGTCCTAATATTAATGACATTTAACAACTTAATATAACATCCAAAGGCCAAAAATACTTCACAATCACAAGTTCATGACCACAACTTAAACATAACTTTCAAGACCAAAAAAAGTTCATAACATATTAATGAGTCGATAAGCCAACACTCAACTCTCAAGTCTTAAATCAGATAAGTCATATGAAGATCCATCACATGTATTACTCCCATCCAAACCCCAAGTTGAAGAGTTGTCATCGTCAGTATCATCACTCTCCGCCACATACACTTCCTCCTTTGTCTCCTTGGAGTCAGCCTCCTCCTCCTCAATCTTTGGAAATGATGTTGATGTGGGTCTAACTCTCTTTGTGATCTAGTGCTAAGCCTTGCTTCTTCTCCAGCCCTAATAGCTTGCTCGACATCCAACCAAGTAAGGTCCTCACACTCGAACGTCTACTCTGATCGTGGCTTTACTATCCACTCATTCCCTTGGGTTCATTCAATATAATTGGGTCCATAATCATGCGCTTCAAGAACCTCTCCCTTAGAACCATGGAATTATGGTTCAAGGATTTTTTATTTGGTTTGGGGGATTACAAATTTGCCCCTGCTTGTGGATAAATTTTTTGCCCGCAAGCAGGGGCAGATATGTGGGTGCATTGCCCCTTATGCGATGCGTTGCATAAGCGGTTGATGGGCCACATATGCAGGCATGTTGTAAATTCCTGCGTATGCAGGTGGAGGCAATGCGCCCAAAGGCCGCATGACGCATTGCATGCTATGTGGCTGCATTTGATATCATAGCTTAAGTATCCTTTCACAAACAAAATAATGATTAACCTCAAAATAATGATATCATAGCTTTAGAATTGTTTTTTCTCAATTTTTTTTTTATGGCTTTGTTAGCTCATGAGTTGTTGGATTCCATAGATTATGAATGTTGGGAATATTCCTGAGTTGCATTCTAGAAAGGAGCAGGATAAAAACTTATCAAGAAAGGACTACAAAGAAAAGAAAAAAGAAATTGCATGATCTTAGGGATTGGTGTTTAAAATGGCAGAAGGTGCCCCTAGGCGGCACCATGGCTACTTTAGTTCCCCTTTTTCATTTCATTATTGTAACGTGGGGGCATTTTGGTTAGCGAGTAGGTATTATTGATATTTTCACTAAAAGGCAAACAATCTTTTGTCATTTCAAGGACATTTACGAAATTTTTACTAAAAGGCAAAGGAATTTATAATAATAGAGTACCTAGAATTTCAGTCCATAGTTACCCTTGTCTTTTAGTAAAAAGGATCAACAATACTCTTTTTGATGACAAAAATGTCCTTAGTCATTTTCTGGCCATCGAATACTAGAAGGGACAAGTTAAATCAATTTTGAATGTTTACACCCCTTTCTTAATAAACCATACAAGATTCCATAGGATGTTAGCCATAGAAAACCATAAAACCTACCTAGGGCTAAGCCTCAAGGTGCTAAGACAGGCATGAGGCCACCTTTTAATATATTGTTTTGGATTTGGATGTTTATAAGATAGGAGAATGGGGTTGTACGTTGGGGGATTGGATGGATGGATTACGATTGTATATTGACAATTCCATTCTTAGGGAAACCTATCTCATCTTTATTCACCTTGTGACTTAATCACAAAATTGACTTCTTAAGATTTTAGGAGAGGTTGTCTGATGGGCTTCATTGAAGGTTTTGCGCTGTGTGGTAGTAGTAGGCTACTTATTTGCAATTAATGGAATACTGTTTTGGTTGCGAACTGAGAACAAGCTTTTAGTTGAAGGTTGTGTTACAAAGGGCATTATTTTGAAAGTCAAGCTAAAAAATATGAAATTTTTAGGATAAATGCAAGGGAGGGATTTACTTATTAATCATCATTACCATCTGAGCCTTATTCCAACTATTTAGGGTTGGCTACACGAATCAGATTCTATCGTTTTGCTCTATCAAAGTGTCATACTCTTAGTCAGACAATAAGTCACCATATCTCTTCTTACTATTTCCATCCATATGTCCTTTGGGGGGCTTCCTCTTGCCCTCTTAGAGCTTTCTACTTGAACTAAATCGCCCCTCTTAGCCGGTGTTGTATTAGGTCTACGCTATCCATGGCCATCCCACCTAAGTTTACTCCCCTTTATCTTATCGTCTATTGGAGCTACCCCTAAGTTCCTTTTGATGCATTCATTCCAAATTTTATCCTTTCTTGTCTTGCTACTCATCCATCTCAACATACTCATCTCATCTACACTCATCTTATGGATATATTTTTTTCGATCGCCCAACATTCCGTCCCATAAAGCATGACTGGTCGTACAGCCATCCTATAGAACTTCCTGTTTAGTTTAATTGGAATGCAATGATCACATGAAACCCTGGATGCACATCGCCACTTTGCCCACACAACTATACTTCTATGCATGACCCCTTCCTCAGTCTCTCCATTCTCCTGCATTATCGAAGCAAGATATCAATAATCTCTTTTTGATATTTTTTAGCCAAAAGAAATACTAACTTGTTTCTACTCCTATTATTACTAAACTTGTATTTCATATATTCTCAATCTGGCTAATTCTAAAACCTTTGGATTCTAGAGTGTCATCCAAAGTTCTAACTTTGCGTTGACGCTGTCTCTAGTCTCATCAATCAAAACTATGTCATCTGTAACCAACATACACCACACTACCTCATCCTTTAGATGCCTAGTTAAATCGTCTGTAAGACAAAGAGATATGAGCTCAATGGTGACCCCTGATGTAGGCCTATTGTCACTGAGAAATCACTTGTCTCTCAATTAATTGTCCACACTGCTTAGTGCTTTCTTGTACATATATCTAGGGACTCCATTCTTTTTCAACCACCACCAAATTAACTCTCTAGGTACCCTATCGTATTCGTATGCTTTCTCTAAATCAATAAAGACAATGTGGAGGTCTCTTCCATTCTCCTTAAAATTCTCAATCAGTTGTCTAAGTAAGAAATCGCCTCAATTGTTACCTCCTGGCATAGAACTGAACTTAGTTTCTGATACAGTCATTTCATGTCTTAGTTGTTGCATGCTACTTTCTTCCGCAACTTATAGTATGGCTCATAATTTTGATACCTCGATTCTGTATATCTTTTTTGTTCTTGTAAATAGGAAGTTCAATACTTTCTCTCCATTCATCTGACGTTTTCTTTGTTCTCAAGATCTTGTTTAACAACTTGGGTGAGCTAGAACATGCCAATATCTTCCATGCACTTTGAACCCTCTATCGGGATACCATCTGGTCCAAAAATCTTTCCTATCTTCATCTTTCTCAAAGCTTCTTTCACGTCTGATATCCTAATCCTGCGAATGTACCAATGACCTCCGATCTCATTTGTATTGAATGTTCTTCCTAACACTGTGCTCCCCTAGTGTTCATCATTTAACACTTTTTGAAAATAAATTCATCACCTTTCGTTGACCTTGTTATCCTTCACGAAGACCTATGATCCTCACTTTTTAATTCATTTAATATGATCTAGATTCCTACACTTCCTCTCTCTCATTTTTGCTAGTTTGAAAACATCTTTTCATCTTGTTGTCCCCAATTTATTGTATAAATCATCATAGGTTTCTTAGTTTCTTTCTCAGTATTTTTATATTCTGCTAAGTTTTTGATTGTTTCTATTATATTCCAAGCTTTATAACATATCTTTTTTTTGCTAATAGCTTTTTGAACTTCTTCACTCCACCACCAATTTCCTTATTGGAATTTCTTTTCTCCAAAAACTTCTTTTGCTACTTAATACAATCAGCCATCTCGTTCCACATAACACTAACTTCGTGCTCAGAATTTCATTTTCTTTCTTTTACAAATTTATTTCTAAATAAGTCTATTTTTTCCCTTTTTAAATTCCACAGCCTAGTTTTTAGACACCTATTAATTTCACTCCTCTTCCATCTCTTCGTAGAGACATCCATATCCATGAGCCTATGTTGCTTGGTCAAACTCTCTCCTCGGATAAACCTTGCAATCTTTACATGATGGTCAATTTGCTTTCTTTACTAGAAAGAAGCCTATGTGGCTTTCATATGAACCATTTTTAAAATTTATTGAATGTTCATTGCACTTTTTAAAGTAGGTGTTTGCCATTGCTAGGTCGTCATCAATAACAAAATCTAGAATAACATCACTCATTGTGCTTCTTTCCCCAAAATTATATCCTCCATGTACTCTTTCGTATTCTCTATTATCTTTTCCTACATGACCATTTAAGTTCCCTATTAAAAAAATCTTTTTTCCACATTTGATATTCCTTGGACTAGTCCATCCATGTCCTCCTAGAATTGTCTCTTCATTTTATCCTCTTATCCTTCCTTTGGCGCATAAGAACTAATTACATTAATTATCTCCTCCCTTAACACAAGTTTAATTAATGGGAGCCTATCACCTACCCTCTTTACATCAACTACTTTATCCTTTAAATCTTTATTTACTATTATGCCTATGCCATTTCTATTGATATGTTTTCATATATACCAAAGTTTGTATCCATCAATTTCCTTAGCTTTTACCCATTTTCACTTAGTTTCTTGTAAGAAAGTTATGTTAACTCTCATTCGACTCATATTATCCACTAACTCCATACTCTTACTTGTAAAGTTCCTACATTCCATGTGGTTAGACAAATCCCATTCTCTTGGACTAGCTTCTTTACCTGTGCTCGTCCAAAATAGTATGGGAACCCTTACCTATTTATTGCCGCAACCGAGTGTCCTTGTGGTGCGTCGCTTCCAGGGAACGCCCTAGCTAACCCTGGCTCATTTCTCACTGTACCCAGGTGCTGATACAGCGCATCGCTTACAGAGAATGCCTTGACATAACCCTCTAATATAGGTTCAAAATTCACGAAAAGATGTGTCAAAGTTTTACGCTGGCTGCCTACCTAAAACAACCCCTCCTTTATCCCGACCTAGGACCGGCATGAACGGCTTTGGGATTGGCCATGGAGAGTTGGGGGACTTCCTTATTAATAAAGTGCAAAAAACAAAGGAAGAAATGCTAAAATGGTGCTGATTTGATTTGAATAAAAAACATCACTTTACATAATTTCCTTATCAAATGTATATGCTGTCATCAGCTTCTAAAAAAATTACCTTACATAATGAGGGCTAAAAAAGAAAACAAACAAATAAAGAAAGAATTAGATGCAGGTTTTATTGAAAAAAAAGAAATTGATATGATTTAAAGGAATTCTCCCTGGAGTTGTTGAGAAAATATGTTTTGTTAAGTGGGACGAGGTAACTAGGTTAAGGAGAGAGTCATCATCATCATCATAGCCATTTCCCAATTAATTGGTGCCGGCTAAGGTTAAGAAGAGAGTATTTATTTTTTTTATAGTTGATATATGCACTTTTGGATATTAGGACCGATTTTGGATATTATGAGTGGGCGACTTGTTGAGGGATCTCTGCTGTATCTTTGAAGGATTCAGAAGTCAAACAATTAGGAGTTTGGCCTTGAGGGAGGTCATGTATAAGATGTGTGTCAAGTGACGAGAATTTGGCTAGGTGGCTGAGATTGCTGCTGGGCTTGGAAAGATACTAGGAAAAGGATGGAGAAACTCTGGAAGGTGGAAGTGTTCTGTGGACCAATGGAGCAATGGATTGTGATATATGTTATTCCAATCTATGTCCACTGTCTGTTACTGCTAGTGATGTTCGAATACTAACTTCAGTGGAGCCCACATGGATTTTACCTATGTAAGCTAATCCAACCATTTGTCATTGGGGACAATGGATGTAACTTTGAATACCAAATACTAGAGCACAATGGACCATGGTATTGCCTTGTAGTTTGTGGTCGCAACATTTTAGAGTTTCAAGAGACGGTATCGAGATTTGTGGGTTCCTTCTTGGGGAATACTAAACGAGGTTGAGGTGTTCACGGCCTAAATATTGCTGAGGTGACATCTCCGTACACGAGCAAAACAGACGTGTTACTAACATTGTTGAAAATTTTGGCCGCCTAGCCAGCCACGTTTTAAAAATGTCCAGGTGTGCCCTACGGGGGTCCCCTAGACGGGCGTGCTTCTAGGTGGCGCTAGGATGCAACTTGGCCGAGGGAAGAAAACTGCCATTGACCAAGGTAAAAAAAATACTTTTTCCTCCCTAAAAAGGGGGAAAAAGGGCCCCCCAAAGCCATATATATGCCTGGCGCCATCCCTTCTAAAAAAGAAAAAAAGAAAGAAACAAAGAAAAATATAAGTCCCCTTAAGAGAATAAAAAAAAATAGTTAAGGCTTATACATATAGTTAAGGCCCTTCTCTCTCTCTCATTCACGGGCCCATATGCTCTCTCTACATATAATAGGAAATAAAAGAAGATGACCTCCGAGTGTTCAATGTGATGGTCCCTCCCCTCGCTCACGAGCTCATATTCTCTCTCCCCACATATAAGAAGAAGAAAAAGATGAACATGTCCTCCAAGGTTTGATGTGAGACCTCTCTCACAAGCACGGGCCCATATGCTCTCTCTCTTTATACATAAGATAAGAAAAAAGAAGATGAACTTCAAGTATTTGATGCGAGTCCATGCACACACATACACAACACACTCACACATGTTATATATATATATATATATATATATATATATAAG